TCTGCCCCAGACTGGTTTCTGATCATGATTATACTAAGTACAAATTTTAACGATATAAATAAATACTAGTCTCTTCAATGTCATTCTCCGTAAGTGGCTCGGTTAGTTGTTGTTGATGATGAAGTAGCATATTGCAACACATTGCACCAACTCTCTTGAGTGTATTGACAATGCAATTTCTCAACAACGCCTTCAGTATACTGTGTAATTTCTAGCAGCTCGTTTTACAATACAATATGCTGATAGACATGCACTGGGTTGATGAAAGAGTTAGATGATGTAATTAAAGCCCCTGTGTGTACCATTATGCTTTGGGGGCCGCGAGTGCCGGAAGGCTGCCATATTTACTTTACCGAAAGTCCATTAATTGTACTGTGTGTTTTGAATCTTTGGCCATCTCACTTTTCTAAGCACTTTAAACGCTAATATAAGAGTTTTCAACCATCTGTAATTCGTTTTATGGTGATATTTGGATACTAGAAGTATTTTGGTGTAAATCATAACAATAACAGAGGCGCGCAAAGCATAATGGTGCAAACTGGGGCTTTAACAGCGCCTTATAGGTTTATCTCTGTTTTATTAACTTAAGTAACAATGCGCGCAAAAAGCAGGCAACTTTCTATTGTTCTGCGGCAATTGCAACTTCCCCACATACGAATGTCTTGGTTTTGACCTCATAAGAACGCGTGCTGTCATTGGCTAGCTATCTCAGAATATGAGACTATATAAGTCATTTTGATAATAATGATATGATAACGTGAATGACAAATTGCCGAATTTTGTGATATTTAAGAAGTCAAAATCTGTAACTATATGTTCACAGTCGTGAGATAACGGTCAAAGACAACCATTATCGATTTCTTGAACATCATTACCATTAAATGTTATTTCTTTTAGAAGATGAACTTGTGGATGATTTTGACATGAACGGCAATCCTCGTTCCAATGGCAGTCAAACATCCAATCAGAGCGGAGCAGAAGAAATGTACATGAACACAATTCCAGACTTACCAAGCGATCCAGCAGGTTATAATAATTACACAGTTTGCACATTCCTCAGTTTTTCACATTTTCCCATTCAATTTCTGTAACTTCACAGACCTAGTGCTAGGCTCTAAGCTGATGTTGAATGATCAGTTTTTCTTTCTTATTTTTCTGCAGCAAATGCGGCAAATATCTCAACAAATGCACACGGAAATTCACAGACAGTTGAGTTACAAGTACCAGAGCTATACGCGTCTATGAAAGGTGCATGTCTGGTTACATACAACCGTTTAAAAATAAAGTTTGAGCACTGAATACCGTGATACCGTTCTCGTACCCAGACCTTCTCAGTTTTCCTGAAAATCGAAGGCCCTGGTTGGAAATGACGGAAATGACTAAATATTTGCTTAAAAATTCCCATGCTTGATATCATTATACAACCCAGATTTAATCTTCTGGTATCGTCTACAATCAGACACTGGAAAAAATAGCGCACTTAGAAAATTTGATGTAAATAATAATAATAATAATATTTACATGATTTTGCATTTACATAAATTTTACACACTTTTTACATAAATTGTAAATTTGATTCGCATCATAATTCCATAGAATTTAACCTTCAAGGAGCGGGAGTTTTTTCCAGTGAGAGCCGTCGATTTTCCGAAACTAAGAAGGATCTCTCAATGCCATTGTTGCGACATGATTCCACGCACGTACAGTTAATGTATTTCAAAACTAAATTGCTCGTAGGTACAGAGCTGGCCCATATAGTGATTGGATGACCAACAATCCATTTCGATCTTGAATACACTACATTTTAAGAGCTGTAGACACATACAGTCAATGCAAAACCAAATTGATGGCTTATTCCTCTTACTGCTCTATGTTGAAACAGTATCTATGACTAGTGATGGCACGAGGTGCAGTAATGGATCCATTACTGCACCTCGTGCCATCACTAGTCATAGATACTGTTTCAACATAGAATGCCTTGCGGACCATTTTAAAAGATTCAAAAAGTGAACTTGTGGAAATGTATTTGGACAATCAAAATCTACTCTTGTATTACCAAAACTGTTAGTCTGAACATGCTTTACTTATTTAAATAAGACGCTTGCGATTGCGTTTCTAAAAGTCAGAAGAACTTGCATTGAATACACTATAAATCGCAAGTCTTGTGCAAACGGGTAAAGTCTAATGTTTCACGAGCAATCCAAATACAACAATTTTGCTAATATCTGTTTTGCCAGCATTTATGATTGTATTGATTTCATACCTTTAGATGATGTACTTCAGTATGATTATGCTTCTGTGAATGGAGGTCCTGGTTCCAATCAGAACATACCAAAAGGAATGCAACAGATTCCAGGCGCATTTGAGTATGATTACGCTTCGGTGAATGGCGAACCTCGTTCCAATCAGAACAAATCGGCAGAAGGAATGCAACAGCGTTCAATCCCAGAGGCATTTGAGTATGATTATGCTGCTATGGACGGAGATCTTCGTTTCGTCAATAACAGAACAAAAGGGATGTGCCAGCATTCAATCCCAGGTTTGTACAGCATTGCCAGCCGAGATCTGCCCCAGACTGGTTTCTGATCATGATTATACTAAGTACAAATTTTAACGATATAAATACTGGTCTCTTTAAGGTCATTCTCCGTAAGTGACTCGGTTAGTTGTTGTTGACGAAGAAGCAGCATATTGCAACACATTGCATCAACTTGCAACGTCATGTGTATCAGCNTTTGGTGTAAATCATAACAATAACAGAGGCGCGCAAAGCATAATGGTGCAAATTGGGGCTTTAACAGCGCCTTATAGGTTCATCTCTGTTTTATTAACTTAAGTAACAATGCGCGCAAAAAGCAGGCAACTTTCTATTGTTCTGCGGCAATTGCAACTTCCCCACATACGAATGTCTTGGTTTTGACCTCATAAGAACGTGTGCTGTCATTGGCTAGCTATCTCAGAATATGAGACTATATAAGTAATTTTGATAATAATGATATGATAACGTGAATGACAAATTGCCAAATTTTGTGATATTTAAGAAGTCAAAATCTGTAACTATATGTTCACAGTCGTGAGCTAACGGTCAAAGACAACCTGCATTATCGATTTCTTGAACATCATTACCATTAAATGTTATTTCTTTTAGAAGATGAACTTGCGGATGATTTTGACATGGACGGCAATCCTCGTTCCAATGTCAGTCAAACATCCAATCAGAGCGGAGCAGAAGAAATGTACATGAATACAATTCCAGACTTACCAAGCGATCCACCAGGTTATAATAATTATACAGTCTGCACATTCCTCAGTTTTTCCCATTTTCCCATTCAATTTCTGTRACTTCACAGACCTGGTGCTAGGCTGTAAGCTGATACCGAATGATCAGTTTKTCTTTCTTATTTTTCTGCAGCAAATGCGGCAAATATCTCAACAAATGCACACGGAAATTCACAGACAGTTGAGTTACAAGAACCAGAGCTATACGCGTCTATGAAAGGTGCATGTCTGGTTACATACAACCGTTTAAAAATAAAGTTTGAGCACTGAATACCGTGATACTGTTCTCGTACCCAGAACTTCTTAGTTTTCCGGAAAATCGAAGGCCCTGGTTGGAAATGACGGAAATGACTAAATATTTGCTTAAAAATTCCCATGCTTCATACCATTATACAACCCAGATTCTTGATCTTCTGGTATCAGACACTGGAAAAAATAGCGCACTTCAAAACAAATTTGATGTAAATGATGTAAGTAATATTTACATGATTTTGCATTTACATAAATTTTACACACTTTTTACATAAATTGTAAATTTGATTCACATCGTAATTCCATAGAATTTAACCTTCAAGGAGCGGGAGTTTTTTTTTCAGTGAGAGCCGCCGATTTTCCGAAACTAAGAAGGATCTGGGTACGAGAATTCACGACTTTCAAAAATGGCGCGATGTGTCACGGTCGTCGACCAGGGCAGTGGGGACGAAGCACTAAAACGAGGTCTCAAAGGCCAGCCTCCGTATAGTGAGCTTCCATGGTGTCTTGCAAGAGTGTTTTGTTATAAATAACATACCAATAAATCTTTCAAACTTTTGGATACTGCCTACATACGATCTTGGTAGTGATTTCTTGATGGAAGGCCTTTGAGGTCTCGTTTCCATSATTCGTCACTAGTCCCCAATATAGGCGGACGTGAACTGGCGCCATTTTTGAAAGTCGTGTATGCTGAGGGTGTTCCACAGACTCAATGCCATTGTTGCGACATGATTCCACGCACGTGCAGTTAATGTATTTCAAAACTAAATTGCTCGTAGGTACAGAGCTGGCGTAGTACGTTCTGAAACAATAAACACCCATATAGTGATTGGACAATCTATTTCGATCTTGAATACACTACATTTTAAGAGCTGTAGACACATACAGTCAATGCAAAACCAAATTGATGGTCTATTCCTCCTACTGCTCCATTACTGCCATCACTAGTCATAGATACTGTTTCAACATAGAATGCCTTGCGGACCATTTTAAAATATTCAAAAAGTGAACTTGTGGAAATGTATTTGGACAATCAAAATCTACTCTTGTATTACCAAAACTGTTAGCCTGAACATGTTTTACTTATTTAAATAAGACGCTTGCGATTGCGTTTCTAAAAGTCAGAAGAACTTGCATTGAATACACTATAAATCGCAAGTCTTGTGCAAACGGGTAAAGTCTTATGTTTCACGAGCAATCCAAATACAACAATTTTGCTAATATCTGTTTTGCCAGCATTTATGATTGTATTGATTTCATACCTTTAGATGATGTACTTCAGTATGATTATGCTGTGAGTGGAGGTCCTGGTTCCAATCAGAACATACCAAAAGGAATGCAACAGGTTCCAGGCGCATTTGAGTATGATTACGCTTCGGTGAATGGCGAACCTCGTTCCAATCAGAACAAATCGGCAGAAGGAATGCAACAGCGTTCAATCCCAGACGCATTTGAGTACGATTATGCTGCTATGGACGGAGATCTTTGTTTCGTCAATAACAGAACAAAAGGGATGTGCCAGCATTCAAACCCAGGTTTGTACAGCATTGCCAACCGAGATCTGCCCCAGACTGGTTTCTGTTCATGATTATATTATCTAAGTACAAATTTGCGACGTTTCGAGAGCCTTTTAACGATATAAATGCTGGTCACTTTAAGGTCATTCTCCGTAAGTGAGTCGGTTAGTTGTTGTTGACGAAGAAGCAGCATATTGCAACACATTGCATCAACTTGCAACGTCATGTGTATCAGCCATTTAGGTGTACTCTCTTAGTGTATTGACAATGCAATTTCTCAGCAACGCATTCAGTATACTGTGTAATTTCTAGCAGCTTGTTTTACAATACAATATGCTGATAGACATGCACTGCTGGGTTGATGAAAGAGTTAGATGATGTAATTAACAGCGCCTTATAGGTTCATCGCTGTTTTATTAACCTAATTCATATCGTCTGCATGTTTGCACATTATCAGACGTCTGGTCTTATCTTTACCATAAGTTTTCTTCTTGACTATTTCTTATTTCGCGTCGTAGTGCGTAGGAC